CATAGGACTTTGAAGTACAGTGATGAACTTTATGGAGAGCTTACTTTTGATTATTTGTGTTTTTTCTTTCATAGCTTTGTTTTATGGTATAGTAATCATTTATATTTGCATGTTGCATGAATTAGTTAGAATATCTATATTTTATATATATTCTTAAGGGGGGGGGGGGAATTGTAGTAATATCGTTGTTGCGACATTGTTTTTAAATTTATAGACAAGGAATAGAGATATAAGATGGTTTAAAAAATATTTTATCTTTACAAATTATTCTCTATTGTCAGTATATTAGCTGTGGTATGAGTTTATTTAAAACGCAAATTAATTGTTTATGAAATAGCGTGAGAATAACAGGAAAGAGGGTTTAAGTTCAAGGATAGATTGTGTCAAAAAAACATGTGACTGGAAATTTACCTATTGCTTCATTTGGTTTAGTTTGATCAATCACATGATTAATTACATCATAATTAGCCAATAGAATAATTAATGGGTGTTAATCTCAGAATATATAATTAATAGAATGCGTGTTCTAGGGTAGACAGCCATGTGGTTCTCGTAGGGAGAGGATGTAGGAATTTCCATCATCAGACTCGCCGCATGAGAGCGGGTTAGAGAGAATGTCTTTATTCTACTATGCATTGTACTATATGTAATCAGCTATGATATATAACATGTAAAAACGAACTGTTGTATTGTTATTCCTGGTAAGACAAACGTCTTAAGAAAACAGTAAGAGGTAAATACACAACGTGAAGCAGACGCAAAGACAGCTAGAGACAAAGTCTAGACGATCACAAGGCTACTAAGATATGTAGTAAGAAAAGATGCATGGGTCGTACGTAGGATGTGGCGACCGGTTTTCCCACGCCCGCTCTCCACGTCTGACAAAAGATTCCTGATGCTACAACTGGTGATATATCTATATCGGATTTAGATGAAGAGAGGACCCTAGGCTATTCCTCTTGTGAGAACCCCCCCCCCCCAACTCTGCCCTGGCCATAACGACTAGAGGAAGAAGGGAGTGTGTTTTAGACACAATAACATTAAGAAAAGATGATTCGTGTACGCCTTGTGTCTCACAGCCAATATGTATTGTGTTTTACTGTCAGTAAGATATACATGCCGTTCTTATTGTTCTTATCTTACAGTCAACAATAGATATTTTAGATAACTTCACGTGTCCAAAATACAATCTATTATTAGACGCGTGTTCAAGTCCTCGATTCCTGGGTTATTGATTATATGGTCATACACACTTGCATCAAATGTCAATCCCAATAATCGAGAACATTTAATGTAAATTATATGCCACATTCCATTCTAAGTGATTGATACAGGGTGTTTCTTATTGTCATTAAGTGATTGATACAGGGTGTTTCTTATTGTCATGAAGTGATTGAAAACAGGGTGTTTCTTATTGTTATTAAGTGATTGATACAGGGTGTTTCTTATTGTCATTAAGTGATTGATATAGGATGTTTCTTATTGTCATTAAGTGATTGATACAGGGTGTTTCTTATTGTCATTAAGTGATTGATATAGGATGTTTCTTATTATCATTAAGTGATTGATACAGGGTGTTTCTTATTGTCATTAAGAACCATTTCTGTTTTAGTTGTAGAAGGTAGAACATAAATCATTGGTTTTAAATTACGTACCTAAATTAAAAAGGTTCTCGATAATGGAATAAAATGAATGGGGTTTAACGTCCTTCTGTTCTGCTCCGACTGGGCATACGCCATACAGTGTGCTATGGGTGAAATTTTGCCCGGGCAGCGGCACTATGCCCTACTCTTATATCAAATTTCAACTGCCAATGAATCTTTTACGTGCACGCCAAAGTATACACGGGACCAGGGTTAGACAGCTGTCCTTGTCATGCCTTCCTTCCTGCACCACGTTGGAAAATTCTCGATAATGGGGGGACGACATCTAATGCGTGTGTGTGTTCACATAGACTTAAACCTATCAATCGAGGTCCATTCACAGATGTTTAATAATAGAAATTTATGATCATTGTTAATATTAATGGTATTTCATATTTTACCAGTCATATATCTACCAATGTCTTCGAAAAGGACCATCAATCCATCAATCAACACGTGTGTGTGTGCGTGTGTGTGTGTTGAAGGGGATGCGGGCATCTAGACTACTTTGTCTGTTGTTTCATACACTACAAGCTATGACAAATACACCTGGTGTTTATTCGGAATTCAACACGTGTTGATGAAGTTAGAGTATTAACTCGTTTCATGTAATAGAATAAGAATAAGTAAATCCATAAAGTTAAGCTATTATGAACACTATGTGTAACTTACACATGCACCGTAATTATCAATGTCAGAATCGATTTTGATAAAAACAACGCTTTAATTACTTTATTGTCCATATTTGCTGATAGATGAATGTTGTTTCAGTAGATTGGATTGCGTATGTGTAATAAGTACTAATAGTATAAAATTAACTTATTTTTACGATGGTACATACATTAATAAAGAAATTGAGTTTGCCACTTGGAACTAAAGGCATCCAATCGTAGCTAAAAACAAGCACATCAGTATATCTCAACGTTTTTATTTACGTTCTCGTACCTAATAATGCACTCGTTTTCAGTACCATTATGACGTTCAGGATTATTATAAGGAGGACTTGGCAGTGGTTTGGCTTCTCGGGATCTGAAAACAAAAGTGATTTATTCAAGTTGTACTAGTCTACTATTTAGTCAATTAAAGCTGATGATCGTCAATTGCATGTTACTAATAATATTTAATTTTAAAAGAATTTGTCTTAAAATGTATTCAAATTGATTATTTAACATTTAGTTTTAAAAAAATCAAGATCAAAATGTTCCGTTTAACCATGTTACTTTTATATCCGAAAGTTGATTAATTTTCAATTCGTCACATCTTTGTAAATATTGAGAAAACCAATTCTATAGTGATAACAAGTCCTTCAAAAGACGCTGAAAGACTTTAGATGTCAAGATGTTCTGCGAAAGTGGTATTAGGTAAAATTAGATAAAGAACTGACAGGTTTCGCTATAATAGTTTAAAAATATATGATGAAAACGGCTACCGTTGTTACGATAATAAATAGTCTCGATTATCCGCATTAACCGCAAACCTTTTTAAAATCTACTTAATATCGGATGCTATCGAGAGTTGATTAATGTCAGATTAATAATTTAAATAACATTTCAGGCCTACCGAAAGACCTGCAAAAGGCAGATTTAGCGCTTGCATAATGTATGTTTAATATAGTGTGCATTTAATGTATTCAACCTTACAGTAACTCGTTTTATTAAAACCTTTGACAAAAGAATACGTTTCTGTCATCTTTCGTTCTGAATCAGATCTCAGTAAAACTACTGTACTTACATAGACCGTTCTCGTTGTGTTTAAAGTAGACAGCTAATCCTATTGTTATTCCAACACCCAGTAAAACTGCCAAGAAAATACCTAAACATATATTTCTTTTGTCATATTTTCTGTGAGTTCCGAATGTAATAGATGTCAATATCCATTCAAAATAGTTTTTGATCCTTTATTTTAAAATGACTCCATTTGTCTCAATAAAATGTATGATTATTTGTATATTTTCATTTAAATTATTTAACGACATGTTTAACAACTACATTATTCACATACACATAAATGTATCATGATGTCATTCTAGAAGTATGGCTATATCATAGTCTCTCCTATTGAATTAGGGGGGGGGGGGTGGATGGCTGAATGGTTAGCGTGCGCGCGCTGTACCATAAAGTCTGTCATTGAGTCGACTGGCGTGGTTTCGAATCCCCGGTTGTACGTGGCAAGGAGTAGGGTCGCCTGTCCAACCTCGTGGGTTTTCTCCGGGTCCTCCGGTTTCCTCCCACTGCTAAAGACCCCAACGCGCAAGCGAATTATTGAAATAAAATTAAACCATATGTTAGTCCCGAAATGACCTAGTTTGTGTCGAGTGGACGTTAAACCCCATTTCTCTCTCTCCCTCTCTCTCTCCTATTGAATTATTTAATCCTGTAACATGATTTCATAACAACTTTATCTGGTTAGCAATTGGCGTATAACGATATAGAAGACTAGTTTGTGTTATACGACTTCACATATTCTTCGTGAAATTGGCTTTGTTTTATTCCATTAAAATTCATATATCACAACACAGAGGTGATATTCGGTTTTCCAATAACTTTAAAGAGCATGGTATGGTTAAATTTATTTGCAATGTTAAAACAAGAATTGCTGTTTTCGTCAATGTTTGTATCGGTTTCATTCGGTACGTCTAGAAAAGGGCGATAACTCTGTATTCAATCGTACACGGTCAGTTACATTAAAACTTATCTCAGACAAGAAGAAGTGTGGGTGGGGTAGAAAACCGAGAGGGAGAGGGTGTGTTCAACATCCACTCACTGACATGGTTCAATCTTATATTAACAATTCACCTGCCTGTGGGTGTTTGCAGCAGTGATGTAGGGGCGGGGCGATGGGAGCAGGAGGTTAGACATTCGACGAGGCTTCTTGTAGAAACCCTGCCACTTGTTTGAATCACAGACCTTATTATCTAAAGCTCAAGAGTTAGACCATGCCGTCTTCCAGGGAGAAATTTGCTTTGACACGTGCCTGTATCATATTCCATAACAAGTATTTACGGCGTTGTTTCCCTTGTCAGTGGTGCATGTCTTGAAACCAGAGGTCCCGTAACACATTAGGGTGTACGTATAAGAACCCTTGACAGTTGGAATTCGTTATAAGTGTAGGTCGTGGTGTAGCTGTTTTAGCAAAATGTCCCTCATAGCAAACTATGGCGTATAGTACACTATTCTGTCCAGTAAGTGCAGAAAAGTAGGATGCTAAACCCGATTTTATTTTAATTTATATCATATTCCGCTATATCTACTGCCAATATTACATGTGGTCTGAAAGGCTAAGGGCTGGTTAAGGGCATTAAACATAACGCGAGGGGGAATCACGAGAGAGTTAGAACCCTGTCTAAACACAAATATATGCCAAAACTAATAGTATTTATTGTCAATGATCAATGGTACATTACTGGTAAAACATATAATATCTATTATCAGTTATTAGTGATACATTACTTCTGCAATTTATAATATGTGTAGTATCATTTATTACTCCTGCAAATTATAATATTTATTATCAGTTATTAATGGTATATTACTCGTGCAAATTATAGTATTTATTATCATTTATCAATGATATTAATGGTACATTACTCGTACAAATTATAATATGTATTATCATGTATTAATGGTACATTACTATAATTATAGTATTTATTATCAATTATTAATGGTACATTACTAGTACAAATCATAGTATTTATTATCAATTATTAATGGTACATTACTAGTAAAATATATAGTATTTATTATAAGCTATTAATGTACATTTTAACTATAGAGTAATATAAAATGCTTGATAAAGACGAGAGTGTCATCGTCGAAACGTAGTTTATAAAACCGAAATTGTTTTTTCATAAAGAGTCGTAAATGAGTAAAATAACATCTATAACAATTCTTCATAGTATTTATTATCAATCATGAACAATATATTATTTGATAAAAATGTAATTTAGAGCCTGCAAACCGCTAAGAGGTACACAATTTCTCGTAGAAAATTATCTGTATACAAATATCAGTTCTAATGTTTTTAATATAGCCAAAAAGTAATCGCGCAATTTAATATAAAACATTGAACTATTTTCAACAGGTAATGATATCATGCAAATAAAAGCTATTTAAAGGAGCAGCCTCAGGTGTATTTGGTGAATACAACTAAATTAATTATATGTGAAAAACTTTTAAAAACGTGTCTTCTCACCCTGTCTTTAAGTTTAATTTTGAATGAGTACAAATTTCAAAACGGGCAGCTTCAGTATAACTATTATCGTGGTTGTTACTATCATAGTTAACTTCAATAGTTAAAAACTAGTTAATGTAAAGGGAATATGCTGAAAATTTCAGTCAAATTGATCCACTTAGCGGTTGAATTTTCGGCCTAGCCTCGATCATCATTACTAAAGTCGGTACCATAAAAACATAGTCTCGATTATCCATTTCATGATTTAATCACGAATGAAAGTTATGCAGCAAATCGGATAATATTCCAGTAAATATCGCAGGCTAGCGATGACATCTAGAGTTGATTATAGTCTGGATAAGTTAATCAATGTCTAATTTTAATTGGATATTAATTAACTAAAATAATTTAGATAACATTCCAGGCCTAAAGAAAGACCTGCAATAGGCAGCTTTCGCTCTTACATAATGTATGTTTAAGCAAAATATAACATAATTAAGCAAAGAAAGAACAGTAAGATATTAAAACATTTTTTTCCTCCAAAAACCGGATCTCATCAAAATTCATTATGTATTACTCTGAAAAAAAGGATAAACCGTATAATGAATAATATATTGTCAACTGGAAATGTTTTTATAATTATCCATTATTATACATATCCAATTGATAGACAATATTAATACCATGTTGTTTCCTGGATTGTTTATATCTGTTTGTCATTTGAATATCAATAACATGGGATTTAACTAGAGGTGTCACAAGCACAACGAAATTTGGGGACTGGTCGTTTCTGAAGCAAACATGGTCACCGATGACGATTTTTGTGATTATTTGACATCTATCGCGTCATTTTCTGGCGGTAAATATCATACACACAATTGTATATTTGTCATTTTTGTTTCTGTTTGGGGTGTCTTGTAATATAGTTAAGCCCGGCAAGGAGTTTCAGGTCAGCTAGACATTTAACGTGTATCTTTAGTCGACGGTTCTAGTCTAGATCACCAGGACGTAACATACTAACGTATTTTAATAATAAACTTACACCCTGTGGGACAAAGACAATATAACTAACTTGATAAGCCTCCGTTTCGTTCACAATAGTATGCCGCAGTACATAAATTGTGACCTAAAATAAATTGATTCAGGGTAACCAATGGACAGACCGCCAGGATGGCCTGGTCAGTATCTATACATTGGCTATAGATGGGTATGTTATAAATTTGTACCAGAGACGACGTGTTCGACTGTTTTGCCAATTTGTATTTCGCATCTCTATTTCACTTAGTGCTCCGAGTTAGTATTTAAATATATATTTAAGAAAAAATATGTAAATAGCCTTACCTAGGCAATAACCAGACGATTCTAATGGTGAATTAACCAGATAATAAACAAAGAAATTGTTTCCACAATATTGAACTTTTACATCAATAGTATATTTACATAATACACTATATCGTCGAACACAAGCTTTTATGTTCTGTATTCCATCTACAGTTGTGACAGGAGCAGCTAAAACATAACATTTTAGGATTTTAGTGTTTAAGTATGCATATATATCTTGACATATAAACAAGATACAATGAATGCTATGACTGAACTCCCCAAATATGAAGTCTTTACTACATTACAGACCATTTATACTTAAACGGGGCTATAATGTGTACCCGAGTTTCAGAAGTTGAATAAACTATGTAGTAGAAAACATCGATTCCAAAAATCGGGCAGAGCAGGAGATATATTGTTGTGAGTACTATGCTGTCACGTAGCACGAAAAAACATAATTATATGCGTTATTTGCATTTTTGATAAATATCAAATTTCTCAGGGCTTAATCCACACGACATATGTACCCGGATTGATTATTTAACATTTAACTAAGAAAATAAAATCAAAATACCAATTCCCGACTGGGATTCGATCGGATTTAAACTAGGCTCATCATGATTCTCCGCTACGTTTTGATTACTGAACAGAACTGAACCATTTTTAGACTGATATTCGTATTAGAGAGTAAACTTCCACACTTTTGTATTATAGCGCTAAATGACGCATCGAGCCTTTAACTGACATGAATATTCATGAAAGATCCTTCGGAAATCAGAACTACAACACAAGTACACGGAACCATAGCATATGCCCATTGATTTAGTAATAAATTTATGTAAGTATAATTAAACAGCCATACTTACTCTGTAGATAAATTGGAAATACTGTACCACAGTAATATTGTAATGGAGCTGTAACACTTGGTATTGCTCTGCCTGGTTTACCATACCATCCATCTGATAGATACCTGTCATTAATCCTCACAGATCCAGCAGATAACATGTTGGTAGTTAATCTTGATGCAGGGTACGTAAACGAAGTATAGTTACCACATGGACCTTCAAGAGCTGGAAAATATTGTAAAACAAAATCGCACAAATTCCATTCGCACATTCTTTAACGGATGTGTGAGAGAATCCACCTATAGTAGCGACCAGACATGTAAGAGGGCGAGGGCAGATATATGAATAAACGAATTCATATAAAATCATGAAACCCCCTTCTCCATCCACCAAAGCTTACACATTGGAATTCACAACAAAGTGGTTCGATTTAAATTGTAAGTATTTGCCTTAAAGTTAGAACCCCCTTGTGGTGCACTATATTATTATCATTAAAATGAGGTCCCATGTGATCAGTATTATTATAATGATCTCTATTGTAATTCAACATTAATAATTTATTCTAAAATAATTACAGGTATCATTCAGTTCCCATCTTCCGCCATTTTCATCAACTTGACAGATATATTTATCATTACTAACATAACTTTCATCATGACTGTAACATCGATCATTGACCAAACAGTGATTTTTCTGAAAACACAAAACATGTCATTAGAACCCATATTACCGAAGACGTTACGAGCATTTCCTGGCAATAAACCATTGCTACACTTTCTTGTTAGTTCCCGTAACTTCAGTGTCTATTTGTACAAAGATGTACGACCTCCCTGATATATCCCGAAATCAAACTCAATGATATTCTACAAAGGAGAGTGGGATTCAAATGAACTATTATGTAAGATTCATTTAAAGAGCTAGCCATTCTTGATATGATAGTTCAAAAATAGATAATACAAAATTAATATATTAAAAACTTCATTCAAATTACTTTATTCTGAATGAAGATATTAGCCTTTGAAGGTTTGACAAGATGTGTGCTCTGATTGTATCCACCGTACATGTAGTTCGAGGCTTAGTCTCGCTTCATCATTTCTAAATTAAATGATTAAATGGCCGAACCGTTATAATCTACCTACAATTAGGCCGATCCGATGGCATCGAGAGTTGGTTATAGTCTGGATAAGTTAATTATTAAGTTGATTATGATCTGGATAAGTTAATTAATGTCTAATTAATAATTTAGATAACATTTCAGGCCTAAAGAAAGACCTGCAATAGGCAGATTTAGCTCTTGCATAATGTATGTTTAATGGATGTGCGTTTCAATTGCGTATAAAACATATTTGTTAAACATAAGTAAAACCACTACTGGGTGGATGGATTATTTTGATTAATCAGTATCTCATGCCTATTACCATTTCTTTATGGATATTTTGACGATTAGGACCACCTGGATCGTATGAATCTGATAGGACCTCTTTAAAGGAAAAAAAGGGACAACAATGTGTAAGCCACAGAAAGCCCTTAAATGAGAAATGGTGTCACGAGTTCTATAGACGGTAAGCATATCCTGCCATTCTTATTAATATTTTATCAGTTATTTGTACAAAAATAAACTTACGGATATTTGACAAGTGATTGTATTATTAGTATTGGTACAAGTCACACAATCTGAGTTGTAGTAGATCATTATTAGTTGATTACTGTAATGTTGTCCATCATTAGCTACAGATAGCTTATAACCAGAGAAGGTTTGTTGTTGGACTGGTATAGGATCTGGTGTATCATACACATCCAGTGGACAGACTGCTTCACTTATACTGTCTATTGTTGCATCCAATATGGTTGGGGTGGAATCCAGATTCGTCACAGCACCAGCTTCTGACATCTTAACAGATAATAATTGTATATAAATTTTTACTGTCTAGTATTTGCAGGGCACACTTTTATCATGACTGTTATTTTGCTAGTTTAGTAAATTTACCCAGAGATGCCCATATAAGCAAAAGTCCATCAGACAAAACGGAGCACACAAACATTGAAAGCAGCAAACACTAAACGTATATAAGATCAAGTTTTGTTATCCAAACATACGTACATAATGTAAGAAAGAAGACTCGCGTTAAGCCGTCTGTGCAATTGTGGTTGTTTTATTTCCACTTAAGGGGGATCACGTTTCTAAGTGGGTCGGGTGATCGATTCCTGCATAGGCGTTGAAAGTTCATCCCGATTTTCCGGCGTGGTTTCCCCTTGTCAGTGATGCAGGACGGAGGGCCTGACAAGGACAGCTGTCTAGTCGTTCGGATGGGACGAATAACCGAGGTCCCGTGTACACATTGGCGCGCACGTAAAAGATCCCTAGGCAGTTGGAATTCGATATAAGAGTAGGCCGTAGCGCCGCTGTTCGGGCAAAATCTCCTTCATAGCACACTGTAAGGCGTATGCCCGTCTTCATTAGCCCAGGTTAGGGGCCGAACAGTAGGACGTTAAAACCCATTTCATTTCATTTCATTTCATTTCGACTTAATTTCATAGCGAATTTTATGGGTCAATGTCTATCGAAGGATCTACATTGGTTTACAATAATATACCTTGATGCTATAACGCCGACATTTCGAACCAGGGTTTTCTACAAATGTTGTACCAAAGACAGCCATATCATCACATGTTTGGTTTTTCACATCACACAGTCCTTCATATTCTAATTCAGTTAGAACTGGAGGATCAGCTGCCCTAGTAGAACAATCAACAGCAATATATCCAGTCTCACAGATACATGTTCCTACAATATAGATATAGATATAGTTTAAAATTCCTCAGGTAGTTAGTCTAACGTCTTGCATACCCATATTCTACTGAGATTGAGAGCTTAACGGGGGTCTATAATATATTATATTCTTTCAATATCTGTACACTGCCGTTGTGGATATTAATGGTAATAAAACGTTATATTTTTTGAACACTTTAATATATGTGACCGTTACGACGACTCACCATTATCACATGCACCATGTTGTGAACAGTTATTTAGGCAGTCTATTTCAACAACTCGTTTGTAAATTGATGGTTTGCCGGGTTCTTCTTCTTGTAATTTAGGATCTAGGTCCACTTCGTGTCGACACTGACTCCTGACACTACCAACAGCTGACATAGCAAATTCAGTAGCACTAGTAAGCTGTAGAAAAACAATATATATGTATCGACATTTGGTTGAATCGCCAATATAATTAGAAGATATCGAATATAAAAAGTATATTTATATTTAAAAGCCATGTACTAAAAGGGTGTTTAGAGAGCAACATCCAACAAACACACCCACCCCCTGTATCGACATTTGGTTGAATCGCCAATATAATTAGAAGATATCGAATATAAAAAGTATATTTATATTTAAAAGCCATGTACTAAAAGGGTGTTTAGAGAGCAACATCCAACAAACACACCCACCCCCTGCCAAAAACTACCACCACCACTGAAAAGCTCCCCAAACCAAAGCTATAAATAAACAAATAAAACATCTAACAAAAATCACATTTCGGATATTTTGATTATATAACTTACTTTTATATCGTCCTTGCAGGTTTCAAGCGCTATTGGAATTTCCTGTTGAAGAGATTCTATTTCTTTACTGCATAGTTTAAACAGGCTATCACTGTCAAACAAACTGTTACAGTATAGCGTTGCGTTCTCTTCCGACCAGTTATTGTTCCACGTTGCTTGCTAAAATATAAATTATGATTAACCTGTATATAAGTTTGATAATATAAAGTACAAACAATCAACAATACGTGTTAATTAAAGTTCATGGACGTGATTTGGGCGATATACAATGTAAAAGTTAATTTCTAATAACAATATCCAAAAACTGAATCAATTCCGTTCCATATTTACAAAGATATGATAGAGCGAAATTCCAAAGATCTATGCTGAAACAATTTACTCTTTCTGTGTTCTCTCTTCTCACTTCTGTTTTTTTTTCTTGGTAGAATCTGTAGACAAAATCTCTACAAAGTTAAACTTTCCACCATTTTGCAAATTATAGTATATAAGCTAATCTTCTTTGAGTTGCTTGATAACGTCATGGTATTATAACACGTCCACCGCTATCTTAAAGGGATTATACCGATTTGAACCGAGTCTCGAAAATAAAAGTCCGAGTATGTATGAAATTTAAGCGCCATAATATAGAGGAGTGGTGTATTTACCGTGTCTCAAAATTTCAGCTCAAAATATTGAGTCGTTTGGTCGTGAACGCCAAAACTGCTTATCCGGACAAGTAACCCTTTTAAGATTTCGGGTCATTTTTTTCTTTTAGTGACCTGATATTCGATTCCCGTTCCTTTAGAGGTCTAAACCGTGAATGACCTATGTGCTGTACTTGATAACGAAAGGTAAATTTCACCTACACGTTATTTTTATAAAATAAAAGTCTGGTTTTATCCTGACACCGTATAATAATACTGCTTGTGACACCGGTCTCCATTCCCAGATGAAGACAGACAGATTTAAGTTGTTTGAAAACGTATTATATATATTGAGTTAGTTGCTAGGCCCTAAGATAGAGGATTGTAAGGGGTTTTAACACAAAATTAAGCAGTTTTATTCTCCAAAATATTATCGGGATTAGCCCTTTAACTTGTTCGCAAATCTCGAATCTAACTGAAGGCCCTGTTTTTAAACCGAGAGAAATTATGCCGGATGTTATCTACCGTTGGTATTTTGTTGTGTTTTCCTAATTAAATGTTATATAATCTTTTTTGCGATAAAATGCAAAACACTTTAATAACAAATGTATTTACAGTTATAAATAATGATTTGCTAAATTGTTGACCTAATTGGCCTGCTAAACTTAAATATCTATGAAATAACGTGGTGTTTGATTATCCTTGTATTTTTGGTCCACGGATACCATATCACAAACAATAAAATATCGTACAAAACATATACACATGTAATATAAATGAAGAATAAAAACTTTTATAAACAAAATACGATAAAATGCAATAGTAGTTTATAGTGCGAAGTTTGGGTAATTAATAATTATAATTACAACAATATCATGAACACATGATGATAAACACTAAATAAATATAAACAAAATTTGTGATTTTTTTATAAAATCGATAAAGATGTAGTTTCTCGATAATAAGCGGGTGATCATTGACATCAAATGACTTACTGGATTAATGATACACTATACCATCTATCGCACCATTACCATTTGCTTTAAGCAATTGCTATAATTTTTTTTTTCTGCCACTTATCAGAGTGAATCGCATGTAGGTTCCCAAAAACATTATCGCTAAAACCAAATATATATCAGCAAACGAGTTGTGTCGACAGCATAGCAACAAGCGGAGTTTGTTTACATTTTTAGTGGTTTTAAAACTCAATTGTATCCGTTCAAAATGAATTCAACGGCGATATTTTGGTCATATTTGTAAACTAAAGATTCTCCGCTTACAACGACGCCAATTATTATGAAAAGGGAATTGACAGTTGTATCGTAGCTGCAATTTGTAGCCGTGAAAATTCGTATCTACGGCTACAAATTGATACACTATTCGTGGCTTTTAGCAAGTAAAATTGGGTTCAATTGCAAAATGTTCAACACATATCATCACCGTTTGCATGGAAATCAGTAATTATGTTACAACTAGTGGAGAGTGGAACTGGAACACTGAAATCATAATCTTATCTTACCGAACAGTCTTACTGTATTTTCGAGTCACATGACACCACTCGATTCTGGTTCGGCCACCATTTTAAAATGAACAGAAATTTCGCATAGCAGTTGGGTTTAATCAAATCAAATAATTATTCGGTAATTTTCACCGTTTATTAGTTTATTATATGTTAAGATATGTACAGTACAGTTTGGGGATAGAGTTATCGAAAATTAAGGGAGTTATAGGCCGGTAACTTTTTTGTAGTCAAATGACTACAAAACTTGCTCAAACGAAGGCCGTAGGACCGTCTAAAATGACGGAACCATTTTTAGTCGTCCCGCTGCGAGCGAAGAAAAATAACTAATATTGCTGATAATTTTAAGAAATAGGACAGATTTAAGAAAACGTCCAAATAAAGATGTTCTAAAATCTTTTATTGCGAATTTCATGTTTGTGTCGATAGACTTATTTTTGTGAAAATCTCAATTTCGACCAAAATCAATATTTTCACTTATTTTGTCTCTATTTCAAAATCAGACAATGCGCATTCCGACTAATTTTGACATACCCGGTCACAAATGGTTTTGTTACTACATGTATTTGAAATCAATAAATGATTTAATGCCTCTGTGGTATTAATGCATTCAATTGAAAGGTTGTTATCACGCCCAATATCTTGTGGATCTCTTGTGGTAAAAAATACCACAGACCAAAACAACGATCAAAATTATCCAAAGTCAAAAATCTTGTAGAATGTGTTAACACACAAGGTATCTGAGAGGAAAGTCCACTACCTTGTTGACTCTTGTGGCGAAAAAGAGCGCGGAATAAAACCTTGTAATGTTTCAGCAAAAAAAATAAGAAATATTTCATGGTCCACCTTTTCCAAACGACCCCCAAATCTTGCCATCTCGAAAGATGGGGGTTTATATACAAGAAAAAATAAAGAATGGGTTCCATTTGCTGGATGAAGTACAATCATAATGGATTCGACATTTTGATGTTTATAATCTATTAAATTTGTATTTACTTATAGGATAAGGCTATTTTTGTTCGATCTATCTTCCCTGATCAAATCATAGCCGAATATATCAATAAATTTATCGTCAATTGCTGATTGTAAAAATGTTATAAGTCCATAACATTAAAACCTTCAGAATTTTGCCATATGAAACCTCGTAGCTCATTAATTTTACCGAAAAAAACTAATGAAGAAATTAACATTTGGACTATATTAGAGTCAAGAAATTGACTACCGATGTTTTCTTAATAAATTGTTGAATCGTTAATTGTATTATCGTCAATAATCAGACTATTATTATCAATGGCATAATAATTATATTTGCGGAGTAAGTCATATATTGCATACAATTATTATAATTAAATAAATCTAAATCATAAGACGATTTTCGAACTTCAAAAACATTGCCTACATCCCAGTACCTATCTGCACAATTAGTTTGTTCTTTGATGTATCTGTCACCAACTGATACCGTAACTAAAATGCCATCTAGATCCAAGGCCGTTCATGGAACCATAGACTCAGTTTTCGTTTCTCGTTTACGTAGTCCATATTTTGACAATTCTTTGTCCACTAGATATCAGGAATATAAAAGACCAGGACTTACTCCGGCTGTAGCAGTACGACCGCCACGTGACATTTCCGATGATGACGTAGTGTGAAGTATTCAATTCATTATTCACTAGACAGGCAGAGCGGTAGTCAGTTGTGTGGGTTAACATGGGATATGTACAGGCATATACCTCTTTTTAGTCGATTTCCCCACCCTATCCCACCCACGGTCTTCAGTTGTTGCCCCCCTTGCATTCAGATCTATCGCATTATTGCTCCACAATACTTAATAACTCTGGAAGCTGGAGGAATTGACATCCTAAGGATTGGTGTACTTCATTAACTTTAGAACTAGTTGTCCTCGAGGACGAGGTTATAGTGATTATCAATTTTACCTTGCTCAGAAGAATAAAAGTTAATCACCAAACCAAGTCCAACGAGAACAATACCTCACTCTTTGACGATTCCTGTATATATGAATACTGCAAGTTTGGGAAATTAGAAATTCCGGTATATCGTAGAAAAGGAAGTCAAAATTGAGTACAACTATATACTGATGTATTTGTGCACAGAGTATCGGAGAGATACTTGTGTGAATAGAATAGTTCCTGAGATTACTCCGGAAACAAAATCAGGACGGAAGGGGCTCATTTTAATATCCCGACTCTGGACTCCGTGCAGCGCGGGATAACAATACAGATATATAATAGACTAAACTTATACATACCCGTTTGAGTCTTTTGATTGGACCAGTTTCTGGTAAAAATAATGGCACTGATCGTCTTTTACGGGAAAATGTATGGGTGGCGCATGATCTTTTACTGACTTCCTTATATCTATTATCTTTAGCACAAGATTTAATGTTACTTTTCGTATTACATTCGATCGTTTGGTGCGGAGAACGTGTGTCAGTAGGATTACACTCACATATGACTGGAGTTTTGATGTTAGGTCTAAAATTATCACGAACAGTGGGGTTAAATAAACTCTCATCTGGTGTAACCCTGTTGATATAGTAAAACAATTCATTAAAAAATGTGTGGGGTTTTTTTTCTCATTGAAATCTGTTTGTCTGAACCTAAACTGCAACGACCATTCTTTTTCTCCTTTAACCTTATCCAAAGGTTATTTTCCAAAAGATTTTGTACAAATGTTTTGTCAAATGTTTCTTAAATATACTCATATCATCAGATGACTTCCGAGAAATAATACATTTTGATACTAGTATTCAATTTGATATTATCATTAATATGCATTTTGATCAATGGAATAAACTCCCAGCAAAATTAAAGGAAGCCAGAACATTAGAGTACCAAACCCAAACGTGACAGCGCAGCTCATCGCTATATAGAACAGTTCTAGATGAATGGTGCTATATAAATTCATTATTATTATTTTGATAATGATGTTCATTTTGATAATAGTAATCATTTTGATTATACTATTCATTTTGATCATTTTAATATTAGCATTCGTATACATTTTGATGTTTTGATATTTTTATAACTGGTGTATATATTTAAAGAAAAGCATTTTTTGTCTGTAAAGTCGATTCCTTTAATGAAAGTAGGTATAAATGTAACTTTCAATATCATGTATGTATTATTAAGGCCATGGTATATTAAGTTGATAGTAGTATAAAAATACACATACCTCCACGAACTGGTGAACAGTTCGGCCTCCTGGTAAGATCGGTTGTTGTAGTTTATGGTGTCTGCAGTAACCGTACCATTTCTTAGAACAAGTTGTTGTGTTTTGTCATTAGATATTTTACCGCATAAACCTAGCACTTTGTTTGGATCCAAGAATGATGGGTTAACATACACATCTACATACCGGGGAGGATTACCTCTATGTAAATGAGCTGTCATTGTGGCACCAGTGGGAAATGTTATCTATAAAAGGTATTGGCCAGTTAGAACAATCATATATGACAAGTAAGTAAATAATGAATATAAAGTGTTGTAGTAAATAAAGAATATAAAGTGTTGTAGTAAATAAAGAATATAAAGTGTAAAAGTAAATAATGAATATAAAGTGTTATAGTAAACGTGTTTCTAATTAATTAGGATGGGATTCAATACAAAATAGTTTGTTAAATTGTTTCAACGGCATTTAGTAATTGAACTGGAGTACACAGGTCACAATTCTATGTAATACAATTACTGCTTATTACTGAGCGACGTACTTGATAATGACTAGAGAATCCTAGTCGAAACGTCGCTCAGTAATTATAAGCAGTAATTGTATTCCATAGAATTGTGACCTGTATAATATAATTTGTGATGGATATTTATTAACAATGTATACAATATTCAATGATGCAAAGTAAAAAATCAACCCTTTACAGATTATGTCCCCTCGAAATTAATTGGTTTATCAATTCGAACTAAAAGAATAACATTTCGTACGGCTTAGAAAAACAATATTCAAATCTTAAGAGATTAGGAAGTTATAAGTAAGCTTACAATGCAAAAAAAATCAAGAAATAAATTATTAAAATTAATATCAACCTGTATGTTGGAAAATAAATTATGTAGCGTTTAACTACGATCTACGAACACATCTTTTCTTAATAATGAATGTACTTGTATTTGCGATATGTTATAATTAAATTTGCATAGTGGCCCCCAAGATGTAATATTTTAGTGACACATTCTTCAGGGTAGTTTGAATATATTGGCCAATGAATCGTTATGTATTTAGTCCCTCTGCTGTCGACAAACTACATCTTATATCGTCATTAGATTATATTCGGATATCAAAACAGTATCTACTGTGGGATGAAATATGCTGGACATTTCAGATTTTAGTTTGTGTTACCTTGTAGTCTCCATTTCTCTCTACTTTTAGAACATCAACGCCACCATCACACATTACGTATTCTATGATCCAGTTTTGTGAGTTACATTTACTGATCATATAAGCTGTTCCACCAACTCTAGCTATCACACCACAATTACAGAAAGCGGCACCTCCACAGCTAACAGTCTGTATTTGTACCTGTGGTTATTACATTCGTTTAAGCTAGTATTTAATATATTTTAGATTGTGTCGAAATGGTTTCATCAAATCCATCATTTACTAAACCAGCTGAATTCACACAGTTAAATGACCCACAAATTCATGCATCCGTCGAAATTCTAGAATTTCATTGGTCCACCTACAGCTTGGATAACGCTGTGTGTGGGTGTTGGGGGGGGGGGGTATATGTGGTGGTAGGGGGGGTGCCTGTACGGGAGGGTGGGAGGGAGGCAGTTCTGGGGTAATATGATATGGGGGAACAGAAAGCCATTTTACACCGACCCCCAAAGTATACATAATATAACTAACCTCTATGTCGTTTCCGTCATCTTTATACAATGTATATGTTCCTAGATATTGTAAGTTGAGCAAACTGTAAAATGAAGAGAACATGCACACAGCTACTCTTTGATAATTTTTAAATGTATTTCAAATGTATAATTTAAAAACAAAAAGTTTATCTCATTAATGTATCTTGTTATTACAGTAATGCCTTTTCTGGATAAAAATAAATACATTTCACAAACACACAGTGAGGTTAATGCCCACCGCTTCAATCGCAAATAGATAGATGGCACATATAAATTAATTGTACATTGAATTTTTTGTAAAGCCTCGAGCGATCAAAATGTTTATCTGTACTTAGCCTAAGCAGAAACTGCTTATGATATGATTTAAAGGACAATGTTGGTGTCAGTAATTATCACATATGTGATGTAACTCGCTAAACACGTTCCAAATATAATTTTAACACAGAGATCATTGCTACGATAGAAGAGTATTGAAGGTTTCTACATAAGGAAGCGACGAACACAAAAGGAAAACATGAGTTGTCCTTCTATATAGCTGACTGAAGTGACGAGTGATAACAGTTAAACGGACGAATTTCTGCTCTCTAACAATTCATTCGAAGGCCAGAAGTTGTTATGTGAGACTGCGAGAGAATAGGTGACAATTCAAAAAAGTAATTGAATGTCACTAGATAAGAGAACACGAGACAAATAGAAATAGTCCATGTATTCACTTGTTTTTATTCATTCTATACTTAATCAAAACATGGTAATGCACGGACTTTTTCTATATTCTTTCGTTTTCTCTTTTCCAGTGACAGTCAATTTCTGTTTGGAATTGTCCCCCAAAGCTATGACGGACAGACGAACAGACAGTTGGGCGGCGACCGGCCATCTGACATGATTTTGTTTGCCTCTAAAATTTGATTAGGGCGAAATTAATTTTAAATAACGCTATGCCTAATTAAACCGAATCAGAAATGCCAAATCAATTATCTCAAGTAGACTAAATTGTGTTTATTACATATTCTAGTCGTAAATATGATGATGAACTAAGGGTGAATCAAATTTTAGATTTATATCATTGTTTGGTTTTTTCTATACGTACAGTCCTTTAAATGTTTGGAGTCTGGGATCACTGTAGGCTTTGCATAGTAAGGACTGTGTCGGCAAAGTGTCTTTTACTACAATAACCTGTGTAAATATAAATAACAAATGATTATTAATCTGTAACTACAACTACCAACTCAACGAAATACTGAATAAAAATTAATGACTATGTTACATATTTGATATTAAAAAATAATTATATTCAATTTTAAACTGAATATGCCATAGTTAAGGAAGTAGTATACGTCGATTTCAAATTTTACCCCATGATAGTTTAAACAGAATTTCCATTCCCATGTCGTGTGAACGAACAACGTCTTGCATAGTCATGGATAAACGAGTTCAGTCAAACAATAAACAAACGATTACATTTGGTACAACAGTTCCATGTAAATGTTAGAATTGATAGTGGAATTATGTAATAAGAAACTTATGATGTTAAATATATACATACTTGTACACGGGGATGTATTGTGTAGCCACCCCACGTTTTATGGTGTCCGTACTCTGTCACAGATGACCTTAATATTACTTCAAACTGTGTTAAAGATTGGCCATATTCCTTTATTGTATCGGTAGCTACATTGATAATGTATTCATTATCCCATCCCTGTTTCAGGATGTCTACACCACACTTATCATTTACTCCTAGACTGGCACCACATTTAGAAACAGAATTTGGTATCAAGACTGTTACAGCATATTCACAAAGGACACCTGGTATCAGTATCGCACATCCTATCTCTGCAGTTGCTCGTATTCGTATTTGACCAGTTTCGCCTTCCCGTATTTTAAGTATAGGATTTAATACCTACAGTTACAAAAAGTGAAAAATGAGAATAAAGGGTACTTAATAGTTTATATTAATTGCAACATAATCCGGAATCTTATCACGTTAGGAAGTGCTATATTTCGATTTTATTTTAGTATCTATGCTAACAGGGGATTTAGTATTAACGAACAAGTCTATGGGTCTAAAGCATAAATGTCTTATAAATCTGTGAGTTAATTCGTGTGATATTTGAAACCATAGTAGCAAAGCATTTCATGTTATTCAAAAATAACAAAAATCAATTTATAATCGAAAGTCAAAAAAAGACATTAAAATGGGTTTTATGTGTGGTATATGAACAATGGTGGCCTCTAGGAGTGAACTTTCCACCTGTTCAAACATCAAAATCCTCTGTACACAAAACTATTTGGGGATTATTTACAGGGACTTTGACCATCATTAGGAAATTATAAAAAAATGATAAACCTACCTTTATTCCAATGAAATTCGATTCACTCTTAGAGACAGTCTGGTGTGATGTTTCATTTCTACTAGCAAATATTTCACATCGTATCTACAAGAATGATGACAATGTAATGTTTCATACAAACTAGCAAACTTGAACCACCAGTCATTTATCAACATCAGGATTATATATGTATTTTTTTTTCAGTTCAATCATTCAACAGGTCGGCGCTGATTGTTTTCGTAAGTGTTTTTACGACGTATTATTTCTGTAAGTGCTATTATTTATTTTTTTTTGTGTTTAATTTAGTCAGATTGTGAAGCCAAAACTGTACATGGTACAAACATTCTGCCAACGTAAATGTGGTTTGCCTCCGTGGATCAACTGTTTTACGGATGCGACCAAAAATAATCTCAGATTGCCCATATCTCGGTTATTTCTCTTCGAGTTTTCATTTTTGGATTCTGAAGACGAATCCCATATGGGCTGTGGCTGACGGTGTTTCGAAATTCGGAAGTTCGCTGGATTAGATTTAGCATCAAAGATTTGCGAAAGTCTTCTTCTTCATTTTTTCGACATTCAAGATGGCGTATCTCCGTCACTGTTTGAGGTATCAAGTTGAAACTTGGTAGGAATAAGGAACGCATCGATACCGTCCGAATGACATATTCAAAACTTTTTTAACCGCTTCCGAAAACTTCCGGAAATTACCGAGGCCTTCCAATTTTTCCCGAACACGAATAGTTCTCTCCATTTTAAAAATAGACCAAAAATGGCATATGGTGGAGTTAGCCTCAGATATTATTTTTCATTTTCAGCGCCCTTGTTCAATAATATTTTCAACCTTTTGGCCGCCATATTGGATTTTATAAAAATCTTCAAATTGATATTCAGCCGCCAATTTAATTCCGATTTTCGAATACTTTTTTTTCTTTTGACCCTACTCCAAATGACAACAATCCTTAGGGAGTCGATTTTTTAAATTTAATTTCATTTACTTCCGGTTCCACTTTAAATTTTCTTCGACCTTTCAACTTCTACCTGATGACCTAACCTTTTTATGACCCTTGCCCTTTTCATATATAATGACCTGCATGTCTACTAACAATTAATATCAAAATGTTTGGTCTTGAAGTACAACGTCCGGTTTTATTAACAGTTCCAAATGACAGGTTTTTCCACTTTAATAGGTGTTGGATCTTTCCATACTCAATAATGCATGGCGTAACTTGTTTGTTGACGTGACAAGGCGTGACAAGACGTGACCTGCTGAAGAATCCAAGAAGCAGATTAATTAACGTAGATAAAGTATTTGTAGATATATACGCTTTAGAATTAAAGGAGCCGAACCTCTGACCCAGTATTATCAATAATATTCGAAATTAGTACATTTCAGTCAATAGTGATGTTGTTACCTTACCTAAAAAAATGGGATCATAATATCTAATATGTAAGACACGATGAATATATCAAAACCCGCACACGATGTCGGATACTCTATGGACACACGGCTTTCGAGCGCCATTGATCATGAACAAACAAGACACACCAAAACAACAATGCATAACCAATTAAATATTACTAATTCACAAACGACAAAATAATTTTAAAAGGGTGTATAATTGACCAAGAGAGGGCAAGGATTTTCGTTGTTATATTTGGACTGTTCACGAATAAAAATAACAATACAATTTTTCATTGTAAGTAAATCACTTCATATTCACTTATATGGACACAGGTAACCATTAATTTCCCCCACTGACTTTAATGTTACTTCTCGTCTCTTTGACCGGCTCTAAAACATTGCAACATTTGGCAACCTGTTGCTCAAAAGCAGGTATCAGGTTCACAATGGTTATTTCTCAGCGGATCTTCGTTGGGTTTTCATTTTTGGATTCTTTGGACAAATCCCATAGGGGATTTCGAAATTCAGAACTTGTCATAGTTTTAACATCAAAGATTTGCGAAAGATTTCTACAGCATTTCTTCTACATTCAAGATGGCGTATCTGTTAGGAATAGGGAACACTTTGATGCCTTCAAAATGGCATATTGAAAATTTTTGTGACGGCTTCTGGTAATTACCGAGGTCTTCCGATTTGTCCCGAACATGAATAGCTCTTTCCATTTTAAAAATAGACTACAAATGACATATGGTGGTGTTAACCCCAGATATTGTATTTCATTTTCGAGACCTTGTTCAATAAAATATTCAACCGTTGGCCGCCATATTGGATTTTACAAAAAAAACCTTCAAATGATATTCAGCTGCCATTTTGATTCCGATTTTGGAAACATTTTTTTTTTAACTTTCTCCAAATCGCAACAATTCTTAGAGAGCCGATTTTTTAATTTCGATTTCGTTTACTTCATGTTTCACTTTTATTTTTTTCAACTTTTGACCTACTATCTGGTAACCTGACTGTTCAATGGCCCTTAACATTTGCATATATGATGGTCCTGATGTCTATTGCCATCTAATATAAAAAGGTTCGGTCTTGAAGTAGAACTTCCGGTTTTATTAAGACTTCAAAATGACAGTTTTTTTCCACTTAATTAGGTAATGGATGCTACTATACTCAATAGATCATGGTGTAACGTGATTGTTAACGTGACAATCCGTGACTTCACGTACCAAAACAAAGCTTTTACACAGTTCTAATTTTTAATTCAACCTGATTATAATTTATACACACTTTCTATACAAACACCCTTCACCATAGGCACTTGAAGGGATTCAAATAAAACTTCTTACCCCTGCTTACTACAATAACAACAAAGTGTTAATATACAGCTTGTAATGTAAATAAATTGGTCATTTACAGCGTTATTAATTATAAATCAAACTTGAAACGCTATCACTTGGCGATTATCAACTTCGTCGGACCGGAAGTAACACGAAATGAGGTCAATGGGAAACCCCTTATTTTTGATTGGTCGAGGCGTGTTACCAAAACTAAAAATGAATTTCATAGCTGACCACGAATTAAGAATCTTAGAATGACAGCTTAATACTTTCATTGGTATGTAACATACCAAAAAATTAACATAATACATAATTGGGAAAAAATATTTTGCGTTTTAGTCAGCAAAATGAAGTGCCCGGAATAGAGTCCCCTTCAGCCCCTACACCTCTGCTGAATACTGATTCCAGACTAAGGCATAGACTCCAAGCCCATTCGTTTGCTTGCGATGCCTATGTCAGAAATCAGACGTCACAGGTTTCGGCCGAGTTCTGCTATAACAGATTCTTCGGGCTTCGATCATTATTTGTTTCATCATTTTTTCAGAAACCCTTATTTTTTTTGAATATTGACTAATGAATTTAAAATATTTCAAATCATTGTACAAAACGGTGTTTAGTGCCACTCTAGAGTCGTCACCCTGCGTTTTGTCCGTATTTTTTTGTTTGTATGCACAAATAGACAGACAGCAACAACACGATGACGTCCCATTACAGCAATATTTTTGGCCTGTTTTTATAACTTCAAAAGCCTGACTTTGCTCTGGAGTTAATACCAGGGGCATTTTTCCTTTTTACTTAAACACGCGTGGACGTGTTTTGGTGAGGTCTGGATCACCCTGTCCCTAGGTAAATTTCTCCTAACGGATAGATTAATGAAGGGACTGGGTGATAAAGACTGTTACTAACAAAATGGAATTCCCTTGACCTCATTTCGTGTTACTTCCTGTCCGATGAAGCTGTTAATGCCAAGTGATACCGCTTCAGGTTTGTTTTGTAATTAATAACGTTGTAGAATGTCCAATTTAATTACATTTAATTTTCAGCTGCATCGATATTTGCTAAACATGTAAAATTCGGTTAGTGGGAATGAATATATATATTTATTTAAAGTGGGAATTTTAAACAAACGTCAAGGGGAAATGACTGTTATATTATAATTATATCTATAACGTATATCTACGATGGAACTTACATCATAACCAACTGTTCTGTTCAACTTGTCTTCTGTTAAACTGAGTCTGTTTTTAAAGCTTTCTAGATCTAACGAACCTCTGATTACCGCACTAGTATATACCAGAGTATCATCCACGTACCACGCGGAAGAGTAAAAAACAGTCTCATCTACTCCATCAAAATCACAGAAGAACCGGTACATCTTTCTTGGTTCTTCGTCCCCAGTCATTAATTCAGTGGTAATATTAACAATAGGGAGGACATCTAAATTAGACTCGGCTATTAAAGAAACAAAGGATGTCTGTTATTGATCACGATTCCATTTTTCAATGTTTCAAAAATACTAAACTTTCAACAAATATTGTTCTTTTGTATTAAGCACGAGCTCTAGTTCCGTGAGTGGTAGGGTTGGACTTACTTTCTATGGTCTATTAGAATGATCTATAAATGAATAACAGTGAAGCTGTAGTCTTTGGGTGTATAGAGTAAGATACACAATATATAGGCATCCATATATAAGGTGAAGCATACGTCATGTATTAGGATATCTTGAAGTATATGTGTATATTTAGTCCTAAATACAGAGTAAATCTTTACAAATAAATTAAAATATATATAATTATATATATCTTCAAACTAAAGAAATAATATTTTAATTAGGCTAAAAGTTCCAATTGATATAGGTAAAAAGAATCATTTTACTGATAAAAGGCTGCTAGTTAAAAAATATGAACAACTTTATAACCCTTTAACGTGGGAAGTGTCAGAAATAGAATCCGTTTTTTTTTTGTGCGACCTAAAACACGGATAACTAGGTCAAATTGAGATGGGGGGTGGGTACCTATTATCTAACGTTGACTATGTGAAAAAATTAAATAAAAATCATTTTACTAACTTAAACATATAACAGATGCATCTTGTTTGTGAGTACACCCATAGGCACGACTATATGTACACTTCCCATAAATAGACGATTCTTGGCCCGTGCAAACAACATTTGAAAGATGTATCGACCCTGTTCCTTCACCAAAATAAGCACCTTTCTTAGCTATGGCTCCACTCCTTAATTAAGAAAAATATGTCATGTAAACATTTACCATTTATATTCCATTTTCTTCGTATTGTAGTTATTTTATGTAATTTATTTATGAAAATAAACTACCAAACACTGTGCATATATGATAAAGTTTAAAGCTGCATTATGTAGGATTTCGATCAAGGGCTGGTAGTTCTTGCTATACAATTTCATAATAGATAATGGAAAATGAATATATTGAACACTTCAGTCAAATTACTTTATCCTGGGACCAAATATGAGCGTTTGAATAGGAATAAATATGCAAAGTTCCAAGATGATTCATTCAGAATTGCAGCCTGTAGATGATAAATACAAAAATCGGGTGTGGTTCTGCCCCTGGGTGTTGAATATGGAACAATATAAATAGGCACCATCCTGTTATTGAAATGACAACATCAATGGTTGCCGTCCTTAGGGTATAAGGAATAAGTATACCAAGCGCCAAGATAATCCATTCAGTATTCTGGCATTCGCCCTTTGGGGTCAGGGAATTCACCAAAATCAATAGTTGACGCCCTTAGGCTATAAGGAATACATACATATACCAAGTACCAAGTTGATCCATTCAGAATTGAGGCCTGTAAACGATAAACACAAAAAATGGGCGTGGCTCTGCCCCTGGGGGTCAGGACATGCAGTTGTCATCCTTGGGGTATAAGGAGTAGGTATGCAAAGTTTCAAAAGGATCTGTTCAGTATTATGGCCTGTAGGCGACACATACACGCCCACACATACACAGACAGGGGCGACGGCATAATGTGGACGTATAATAAACGAAGTCTCGATTGTCAATCCTATTATTGCATGGCATCCAGTTTAACGTTAACCTGTTATATGCCATAGTTGGTCTAATCCATTCACCAAAGAGTTGCTAATTGAATATATGTCTAAATAATAATGTATATTCTATTTGAAACCAATAATAAAGAAACTTGCAATGGGCAGATTTGGCTTTTGCATAATTCATCTTTGAGGAGCCGTTCATGAAATAATAAAACTGTTTTATTCTTTCTGAAAATGTATGATTCATTTTCAAAGAAAGGTTTATATTTTGAACAGCTAAAATTTTCTTAACTGGAAATAGTCTCTGGATTACATTATATGCTGGTTACGTAACCCCATAAAGGAATTTGTCGCGATAATTTCCGTACGGTTCAATAGTTTGCCCTGAACATTGGCAGGCGGCTCGTAGGCCTTTCAAAAGTTTAATATTCCTCTGTATTAATTTGATGGCTATGTGGTGACAGAAACAGTACTGTTTCGTGAAATACATACAGGTGCCGATGTAAAATAAAAAGTGAACTCGAAGAAGATTTTAACATTCGAGTTGCTTTAGGAAGCAATAATATATGCCTTTTCACCTGTAAATGTTACAAGAATGGGGTCTAGTGATTTTCGAAAGCACGACATAAGGTAAAAAGTTAAGATTTCCAGACCAAAAATATTTTAGTTCATGTAAGTGGTTAATTCAGTGTCAAATACTCTTTGTCAAATGAGGATCTATGATAATTGTACAAACCAATACTGTAAGCTGCATTCACTTCTGAACATTTTTCCTTTTGATTTGCATATTATAACCACATTCACGATGGATATGGTATCTACAGTTGTAACTTTAAACTTTACGTGCACACCTATGTGTACCCGGGACTTCGGTTTTCATTCCATCAGAACGACTAGAATCTGTCTTGTCAGCCCCCCCTCCCCGTCTTGCATCATCGACAAGGGTAAAGTGCGCCAGAAAATTCGCGAGTCACTGAGTCACCACTGTTCCTAATTGAAATGACAGGACATAGTTATATAGCACCGTGTTAAAAACATCCGTATTCTTAGTGTGTGTGCTTAAAAATTATTAGGTACATAGAACAAACCTTATAGGATCATATTTTATTTAAAAAAGAAAGATATAACTTGCCTCTTAAATCCCAGTTCCCAGCATACGACCGATGCTTCCTCTGGTCCCCATCCATCGTCACAAATTGTCCCCCATCGATTACTTTGGTAAAATTCAACTCTGCCTTCATTAGGTTTAGAACCTCTAGCTAGACGGACTGAAGCTGTGGATGAATATTGAAGAACGGTTTTTATAGTAATTCAAATAGACACTATGTGTTCTCATTATATCTTTAGTTAGCCACTCACTCGACCAGTCGTGCAAAATATGCCAAACCAAAATAAAGGTAAGTATACGTATTTTTATAATATACAGACGATGTGTATATACCATTACTTTTTAATGGTATATTACCTTTCATTGGATGTCATAATACAACTTCAACTTAATTCATTATATTGTTTACTCTTGTTTCTTATCCACACATCCCGACTCCAATCACATACATTCCCCTTTCGTTATTGTTTATTGTTAATGGTTTCCTATTAATACTGAAGATTTAATCTGGCGATAACCAGATGTGTAATCTTGTGAGATCCTTTGTCTAGAAGGGTTTATAAACCCATTGGAACGAGATCTGCAGAGGTTGTCTGCGATATCACCTCGGTGGATGCGGACGTTAAATAAAGCTATTTCACACACACGAGATTAGCAGGCGAGACGGGACGCAGGAGAGCGCCCGGGAGTTGGCACACTCGTGCTAAGCCAAGCTAGGACATGGCTCCCCCAACACAGTTGATTATGAGATCTTTAACATTAAGATGTTTGTACATTATAGTTAGAAGCAGAATACAAGTATTATTTGAAGTTTAAACCAGTGTTGTCGTCAAGAACCAGATCTAAAGACCCAATACTGTAACAATTAGATTCATTGTTAGTGATGTTACGTATTCTGTATATACATACATATTGTCTACTTTTTGTCCACAAATTAATGTTATCTTGTGTTAAATCAATTACTGCTTTTGGTAATTTTAATAGTTGCGTTTATGGTGGTAATTTCATAGAGAGACAAAGGTCTATACTTTATTTACGTTACTTACGATGACAACTAACAGAGACATCACCATTGTGTTTACATGTAGTTTGACCCCATCCAGTATGTTGACATGTCGATAACGTAGTATGTGAAACCGTGTAAAGGGAACTTGCATGAATTGGAGTGTAACGATACTGACAGTTGAGATTATCAAGCCAGATAGGACCAGACCCTTCTCCAAAAAATGCTCCACCATATGCTTCAGCTCGAGTTCTTAAAGTGAAAAAACAACAAATATTACTACCGAATGTATTTAACTAACACACGCGTGTTTAAATTATCTGTATTAAATTACAACTGTTTTGATTTTGCTTACTTTTAATAAATCACAGTATTTTATGTCAATCAAGATCATCTAATAATCGCCTACTAATAATGATATCTCCTCCTAACCATAGCCTTAACAACCTCAAATTACACGTTTTCCTCCGCTTGTGCCACTCATTACCACAAAGTGTAAAAACATAGGTTAAATTCACAGGCCTTTAAACGTATGTTATATGGTTGCTGACTTTAATATGCGCCCATATGAGCAGACTGTTAATTGGAATTCCGGTGCGATAATTAGACGAGACGATTATTATTATTACTTAATTTATGAATTTCTCCCTAATTGCAATGGCCTTTTTGGTGTGGGGTTAGGCTTAATAAAAGTATAAATCTACTTTACGTGGGATATCCAATCTTGTTACAAACAATGGTTGCTTCATATTTATCCCATCCATTATCACAGACCGTTCCCCATTGATTATTTACCAATAGTTCAACTCTTCCTTCACGTGGATCGGATCTACCAACCAGTCGATAACCAATAGCTGAAATATAGTCTTTAATTTCATAGCCTTAAAATTGGTTACGCCCAGGGTGGTGTTTATTATCTACGGAAGACCATTAGGGATAATCAAATGAAAAATGTAGAAAGTAAGTAAGCAATATTCGTGCTATAATAACTTACCTTGGCAAACAACAGAGACGTCGTTGCTATGACTACAAGAAGACAAGCCGAATCCCCCAATACGGCAGTCAGTTATTGAATCCTCTGATCCACTACAATCAACATCATCTAACCATACAGGCATACTAGACGACCCTTGTCCAAAATGAGCGCCTTTTCTAACCGTAGCTAAATCACTGTAAAATATTAAATAATCATTTCATCATATCACTTGTCATAGAAAGAAACGTGTTTATTAGTCTTCAGCATGTCACGTGAATTTACATAAAATGCCTTTTTAAAATGGGTTGATTACTTTTTTAACAACGTAATCTACTTAACTCATTTTGGGCAAAGTAGACAGAAATGCTACCGTGTGCTGTGAAAAGTTATGACAAATACATGTATGTATTATATTTACGGAACAAATCCAAGGCCTCGACAAACAGCTGCTGCTTCTTCTGGTCCCCAGCCATTATCACAAACTGTTCCCCACACACCATTATAATACACTTCAACCCTTCCTTCATGTGGTCCTGATCCATCAACCAATCTAATATCAACTGTTAAAATAAGCCAGATAGCAATACTTTACTAAAAATACAATCACGTTAACTGTGTCATGTAGTACGATTCGTAAAGGACTTTTCTTTAAGGATGGTGAAAATGTCATCTTCCCTCTAAATGATTCGTATTATTGAAGCAATGTTAAGCGAGCAATAACCGATACATCCCCTCGTGTTTCATTTCCTGCTACCACCAAACCTCTATCTGGTAAATATCACATAATATAAAAAGAATGTACAATGATTTATCATATGAAGTACGAGAACAGACTGAACTAAGTCTGAAAAGGATAGAACAAGTGGGTTGAAAAAAAAACTTTTGCCACCAATCATAGACATAAAACTGCAACTGTAGTGTATTTAGTGTCTTTATACAATAATTTTTTGCAAACCTACGCTTTGAAATCACCAGAAATAGACAAAACTGGCTATAGGGCAGTCATCAAGTACCTTCAACTAGCCCCAACACAAATACTTGCCGACATGGTCTCCACTTTAGGGAATGGTGCCCCTTACTTTTCCACAGTAAAGAAGTAGGCTGCGGAATATAAACGTACCGGAGATAGCCTTGACGATGACCTGCGCCAACGACGGAAATGAATTGAAACGGGGTTTAACGTCCTACTGTTCTGCTCCTAAACTGGGCTAATGAAGACGGGCATACGCCATACAGTGTGCTACGAGGGAAATTTTGCCCTGGCAGCGGCACTATGGCCTACTCATATATCGAATTACAACTGCCAAGGGATCTTTTACGTGCACGCCAATGTGTACACGGGACCTCGGTTTTTCGTCCCATCCGAACGACTAGACAGCTGTCCTTGTCGGGCCATCTGTCCTGCACCACTGACAAGGGGATACCACGCCGGAAATCTGGATGAACTTTCTCGGCCAATGCAGGGATCGAACACCCGACCTCCAGGCTAGCGAGCCAGCGCCTTACCCACTTGGTCACCATGATCCCCGCCCCAGGCGGCCATCAACAGCAACCATTCAAGAAACCATTACCCGGGTGCATAACATGGTGATGGCTGGTCGACGATTTACCACTCGACATATTGCCAGTGTTGTGGGTATCTCGTATAAGAGGGTTGGCACATCGTTGGCAAAAATGTGTACACCTCGATAGGGACTATGTAGAAAAATAAATGAAAACTATTGACTTTGTACAGGTCTTTTACAGATAGACCCAGAACTTTTCAGCCAGCCCTCAGTCTATACAGACCCAAAAAAGAAACGTGTGTATGCTTCTTCAAATGTTCATGGCAATTTACATAACACACGTTTCTTTTTCCAAAATTTATTTTTAAGTGAGTTAATAGCTCTTCTTAACATCGGTTTTGAAGGCAACGCCTTCGTATGAACACACTTAATGGGAGCTAGTTTTGCATAGTTTTCCTCATGAAAGACTGGTAAGGAAAGACATGTTAATAGCATGGTATTATAGTAATCTCAAATTAATTTGATTACAACAATCAAATACGTATTGGTTACAAAACACATATTCCTATATTGACATTTTACAACTCGATTCAGCCTGGAGATTTCGACTACAATATATATATATCTCCAGGCTGAATCGAGTTGTAAAATGTCAATATAGGAATATGTGTTTTGTAACCAATACGTATTTCATTGTTGTAATCAAATTAATTTGAGATTACTATAATACCATGCTATTAACATGTCTTTCCTTACCGGTTTTTCACGAGGAAAACTATGCAAAACTCTATTAGGCTCACCAAAATCAGAACACTGCGACCTAGCCGATCAAGTAGCTTACTCGTATAGTATTTAACATACCTTTACATTTCACCGAAGCATCGTTTTGATGACTACAACCACCCAGACCCCAGCACGAATGCTTACAATCTCGCAGATGCACGTCTACTCTTTTACAGTATACATCACTTAACAAAATAGACCCAGCTCCTGGTCCAAAGGCTGCGGCTTTTCTGGCTTCGGAGTATTGGGAACCATAAGTATCACGATACCTATAAAATATATATTACTAATATATTGCGTGTGGACAAGTCTGGTCTTGGTTAGGTGTTAAGTTTTTCAGTTTATCTTGGTGTTAGGAATGGCAAATGGCATATTAACACGAAGGACATGATTTGATGGTGATACACCAACATATAAGTGTGGGTGTATTATGTCGTCACCCAGTCCGACCGTCCGTCCGCTAAGAATTGGCTTGTTAAACTACAGTTTTCGAAGGATTCGTTTCAAATTTGGTGTGATGTTTTGTGGTCACAAGAGGACAAACATTGTCAGCGTTACGCGACCCTTCGTACCATAGTTATGCCTCTTATTCAGGAAAGTTTTGTGAGCTCTATAGAGTCTGTAGTGTTCAATAGATGTTTTTGAAATTTGGTGGGAAACAATTAGCTTGTGAATGCGATAGAGGCTACAATTTTCGATCAATTCTTTTCAAAGCTGTTGTGATGCTTTGTGGTCGTGATATGGCAACAAATATCGAGTATCAGCGTATCGCGACTGTCGTACCACAGTTATGTACACTTTTTTTCGAAAATCTTGTGAACGCTATAGAAGCTGTAGTTTTTATACGCCCATATGTTCATTTGCCCGTTCACATTTTCTTTGTGGACCCTCTACGGGTCACAATTTTTATCTTATTTTGATGAAACTTAAAACATGTGTTTATATTCGAAAGATCTCGGTTCCTTTCGATATTGGAAATATCGGACCATAACTTCCTGGATTATGGCTCCTGATTTTAAAGATCTTTTTTTCAATTTCAATGTGAGGCATTGGAGCAATGAGAGGACCAGTCTTATCAGCTTTCCCTGCTGCCCGTTCATCGTTTGCCAAATGTAGGCGTATCTTGCATGGGAACCACTTGTTACCGGGAGTTTTTCTAAATTTGGTGGATTCATGAGAGGAAGAACCCTATCGATTTTCACCTGGTTACGGCTTTGCTTTCCGAAGCTAATCCCGAAAACTTTGTGAACGCGATAGCGGCTGCAGTTTTTTACAGGTGTTTTTCAAAGTTGATAAAAAGCATTGGGGCCATAAGAAATGAAATGAAATGAAATGGGGTTTAACGTCCTACTGTTCTGCTCCTAACCTGGGCTAATGAAGACGGGCATACGCCATACAGTGTGCTATGAGGGAAATTTTGCCCGAAGAGGACGACCACTATCTATTATCAGTGTTCAAATTGAGTGCTGAGCATTGGCGTTATCAGAGGATGAACCCTTCGTCGATTTTTAGTTAGCGTTCTGCGACTTTATTTTCCCGTGTTATCTCCCCTTTGCCGAAATCTTATAAACGCCATCGAGTCTGTAGATTTTAGCTAATGTTTCTCAAATTTGGGGGGAATCATTTGGGCCATGAGAGAATGAACCCTATCGATTTTTAGCGTTCAGCTACCTTAAGTAGAAGAGCTATAACCGGCTACCCAAAAATCTTGTGAACGTGATAGGGCCTTCAGTTCTTAAATTTCTTTTTTTTTTAAATTTAGTGGGAAACAATGAGAACATAAAAGGATGAGCCTTTTTTAATTTCAGCATCCCGTGACTTTCCGTTCTTGGGGTATTCCCGTTTTGCCGAAACGATAGTGAACGCGATAGCGGCTACAGGTTTTTAATCGATTTGTTTCAAATTTGGGTTTATGAATTGGGTTCATGGATGGACGAATCCCTGTCAATATTCAGCGTTCCCTGACTCTCGATTAACGGGTATCTCTCCCCCCCCCCCCATTAACGAAAACCTTGTTAACCCGAAATAGGCTACATTTTAAAAGGATTGTTTTCAAATTTAGTGTGAAGCATTGTGGTAATAGGAGGGCGAACCCTATTAATATTCAGCATTCTGCAACCTTTGTCGAAAACCTTGTGAACGCGATACAGGCTGCAGTTTTTAAGGGATGTTTTTCCCGTTTCGTTGGGAGCATTAGGGCTATCGATTTCCAGCGTTCCACGACTTTCCGTTCCGGAATTATCCCAAATTTCTGAATAGGCTGATGTTGTTAACAGGTGGTAATTCACATTTGGTGGCTGTCTTTCATCGTGACATATTTAGAGTGTATTAAATCAAAAATTGAGAATGAATGGTCACACACTATATATAAATAAATGTATGTTGCCTTCGATTTAGGTTACTGAAATAATAATTTTTGTTTATTGCTTCCAATTGATCTGTAGTTTGTCTCATTGGGTTTGTTTGTGTGTAGTGCGCCCCCCCCCCCACCTCCCCCAAGCTTTTACTATTAGAGTATCAAAATATTTGTTAAACATCCATAAATCCTGTTTTTGTAAAAGACGTGTATAAATTAGAGTAAAAGTGATATGAAGTGTGTTAATTAGCTTATATTTATCAAACAACAATCAACGAACATTGTAATTAGTTGGTAAACAGACGCCTATTACTGTAACTACTATCCGTTGTCTACTCTAGACATTTAACTTTTAATCTAAGTATAATTAACGTGGTGTTCTTTAGAAAGTGAAACCATAGATATATCAATTATCCAGTAATGTGCTGAAAAACGCCCACATGGCAGCTACAATTTGAAATCATCAGACCATGATATAAATATTTGATGGGCAGACAGTCCAACTGACGGATCACAGACAAGTATGAAAATTAATAGGGTTCATCCTGTCAATAGTTCCAATGCTTCAAATCAAATTTTAAGAATAATCCAGCCTCCTCAACATTAACGGTGACGGACAGTGATGAGCATCGATATCTGTAGGTCACATTCTCCTTGTCCAAATTTAATGTTTCAAACACAATTTGAAAAAGAAATTCCATAAAGAACTCAAGGCTTTTCGGCATTAGGACGAACTTATTGACGGACGGAGACGGACAATGATGAAACTTGACAGTTATCCAAATCCAATACTTCTCACCATAACCATCTGAAGAATCCATAAATAAGTGTAGCCTGTAGGATGAGCACGAGTTGGCAGACATTGATATCTGGAATTTTCGGAAAGCGATGAAAATCAAAAGTCGCCTCCGTCTCATTAATTACAATAAACAATAGAAGTTTTAAGTCAATCGGTTAATAATTGTAGCCTATATTGTGAACGCATGGTGGACGGACAGATGGGGGCGACGAGAACATGCCAGTATAGTGATCACAATGGGTTACGTATACCGAAAGACGGACATGTTAACAATTAGGCGTTTAAAAATATATTTTAAGCTAAGACGGACGATCAATCGTATCTTTCCAGACTGTTTGTGAATCATTAGTTATCCGTTTGTTAAGTTATATTTATTGAGTACTTTACCCTTTAAAGCCAAGTTCCTTACAGACAACTCCTGAGTCTGTTGTACCCCATTGATTATCACAAACTGTTCCCCAAGTATTACCAATACGAACTTCAACTCTCCCTTCCTGTGGTCCAACTCCACCCACAAGTCGAATAACCGCTGAAGAAACAGATACATATTATATACGCAGGTACAACACAGAATTTTGTTCGATTCTTTGATCTCTAGGGGTGGAGAATTCCACAGAAAATGTGCTGCAAAGTGAAAAGATCGTTCCGTCCGTTGGAGTTTGACTAATAACTAATAATGACTTGTCCTGCCCCCCCCCCTCTCTGTCTGTCTGTCTGTCTATCTCTCTCTCTCTCTCTCTCTCACACACACACTTAGTCATACTCTCTTTGATCCTATTTGAATTTCAATGGACATTCAGATTCTCTACTGTACATGCGCTGATGGTATAGATGCCAGAATTCGGTAATACATATTAAGGCAGATGTTCCCAACCTTTGTGTACCATGCCCCATCTCAACATCGCACGTTATTTTGCACCGCCATCCCCTAAATATTCAAATTGCCCCCTTATTATTTCAAATTGCCCCCACACCCATTTTGGAAATCACTGTATTACGGTATATGTAGTGTTATCAACAATACCAGACAGACCTTCGTTAAGAATTAATTTTATTCAATTCCATCGATGTTCAAAGTTAGGCGTATGATTGCGATATATTTTAAGTTTCTAAATATTGTGCAAACCAAGAATAGAGCTAACTACTCTAATAACATTCTTTATTCATTTCTGTATAACTTAGTGGAGAAGCGCATTAATAAATCGATCAGTGATTTGGCAACATAGTGTCAACTTAAACTAATAATACCTATAAGCAACATTAATATATAAGACCACGGCAAAGACATTGACAAGTCATCGGTAAGAAAGAGTTGGTTTGGAAATGTTATACTTACGTTTACAAGAAACAGAAACGTCATTGTTGTGGGTACAAGTTGTATGGTTACTATGACGACATCTTTCTATAGATGTTTCTGTACCAGTACATTCTACATTATCTAAGAATATACTTCCTGTCCCTTTACCGAAATGTGAGTTGGGTAGGGAAACAGCTCCATCTCTTAGGGGATGAAAATGCCAAGTATTACAAAAACAGAATGACGGCGGTTTGTATGCTAGTTGACTTAAACATGTTTTGTTTTTAATTTTAAAGTAAACGGGACACGGGTTGGACAACACTTACAAAACCGTATACCGAGGAGTCGTCTACAATACCATGTATTTATCGTAGGTGGTCAGTAAAACAGAATCAATGACGAAAATTAAAAAAAAAACAAACATGTTTACACACAATCAGTATATTTAAAATATGGACCATAGAAAATACATAGGGATAACACGTCTTAAACAGCGAAATATAGAAAATAGTGTTAAGTATTTGTTAGGCTAGTTGAATAAGGCAAATAGTACCATTCATTTTAGGATAACTATTCCATTCTTGTTTTGTTAGATAGAATTACCAAAAGATGTTTTAAAATATAAAATCTCCGATTATACTTACGTATCAAAACCAAGATCTCTACAAACAACCATTGCTTCCTCATTCCCCCATCCAGTATCACAGATAGTTCCCCAGTTATAGCCAAAGCGAACTTCAACCCTGCCTTCGTATGGCGCTGATCCTCCAACAAGTCGATAATACGCTGGAAACAAATATTGATTAAGGGTGTAATATGCAATATTGCAGTAGTTAAATAATGTACGTATTTATTGTAGATTAACTAAGATGTGTTTGATTGTTAACCCGCAGCAAATTTAATCTGTATGATCACGTTTCTAATGATTTTATAGTTAAAACCGTATATTGACGGGCATATAACAAGCATTGTGCTAGTCAAATTTCTGTCCATTCTAAATCGAATTCCAACGGTCAGGGTTATTTTACGCCTATTAAGAATGCACGAACCGTTTCGACCATAAATTGAATAAATACTATTTGGGATATAATCTATTTTGTTTTGTTTCCCTCGTTTGGTTCTCATAGTTGTCGTTGCACGTACGTTCCTTCTTGGTTTATTTTCGTCTAGATGTGAATGGACTCCGCATAGTTATTGACATGTATAAAGTTATTGGTATGTATAAAGTTATAAACTTACGTTTGCAGAGAAGGGAAACATCCCTACTGTGATCACAGTTAACTGAAGGGGAACAGGAGTAAGCGCACTCATGTAGGTAATTTTCTGTTCCCGAACACTTAACATCGCTGAACAAAACTGGTCCTGTTCCTTGCCCAAAATAGGCCCCATTTTTAACAATCGCACCGTCCCTAAATAGATAGAAATTGATACAACAATCAAATTAAGACATTGTTTACATACAGGTTTACGAATTTGCATGTTATGCTAAAAAAAAATAACTAGGCAGCTCAGCAGATATGCTAGATAACCGGTACTGATAACGATGCTCGTGCCGATGGTCCTGGAAACCGTGAGATGCTGCTGTATTGGCGTCTTTGAACGGATGTGGAGAACTCATTAATATAGTTAAGAATATACATTGCATCTAAAAATAGGGCTGAACAAAACTGATCCCATTCCTTGGCCAAAGTAGGCCCCACCATGATCAATTGCACCGTTCCTAAATAAATGTCAAAGAAAGATTATACGAATTGCAAACGTTAGCCAAGGATGTGTGTTTGTTCCTTTTTTCAAATACACATGAAATAATGAATATACATTGAATCAACAAAAATAGTGATACTTACGCTCTGAATCGTAGACGTCGGCAAACTACAGAAGCTTCCTGGCTACCCCAGCCATAATCGCAAACTGTTCCCCAGGCATTATTGTAGAGCACTTCAACTCTCCCTTGATATGGTGCTTCGCCACCAACAAGACGTAGTTTTTGGCTATAAACTAATAAAAGAATTTACGTTATTATCAACTTATCACATCAATTTTAACCAATTTTGGATAATCAGTGGCGATGAACCCCCGACAAAATTTGCAGTTTTGGGCCCATGAGTTTGCTCTCTAAATATTGCTTAAAGGAGCTAAATCACTATTCGTTGGCATCTAGAAAAAGAGACAAATAATAATGCAATATGAATGTATATAATCGGATTTACACTCAATCGTTTCTGTTTTTACTCTAATTTCTAATCAATCATGTTCGGCGAAATACGCAAAAAGTGCAAATTGAATGGCAGTCTTATGTGTCTGGTAGTCTTCCAATGTGGGATATGTTTAGCCTCGTTCATCAAGTCGCTCATTACAAACGGCGCTCGCAAGCATTCTGGCACGCGAGTCGTGTGCCAAGTATATAATTTTCATCGTGTCCTAAATATTTGATGCCAGAAGCCCATCTTTTTACGGTAAGGTAACAACATCAATGTTGATTTAAATTGACCAATAAGTCGTGTTTGCAATGTCGAAGACTGTGAATGATACTGAGTTAAAGACATGACTACCTTAAATTCTTTTTCCATTGATCACCTCATATTTCGTGCCTTCGATTAATCGAGTGAATAAAAAACCTAATAGAATTCTGATCCCTTCTGTGCCCCTACTTTAAAGTTTAAAGTGAGCAGGAGACTATTCAAATAGGTCTCCCCGTCCGTCCTTCCTTCTGTCTGTATGTCCGTCACACTTTTTGGGACACAATAACACTCCTTCTAATAATATTGAGGTAGAATGTGCAAACTTGTTTATTAGGCGAATGCCTGGATAGAGTTCAAAGATGACCATTATCTGCTTAGGCTAAACAGCGAGATAGCAAATTGATTGTTTGGTACTTTGGAAGACTATAACTCGATGAAATTCAAAGATGTGCATTATTTGCTTGGGCTAAACACAGAGAGAGGGAGGTCAATTTGTTTGGTGTATAGTTTCATTATCAGTACCTTGGTCGAGACAATTCAAGTTCGATAACTTTGATTCTAATTGAGTGAGACTAGTGGCTAAGTTCGGTGATGGGCATTTTCTGCTTAGGCTTAGTAGAAACTTCAATCTGATTAATCGAGAATTTGGAACACAATTATATAATGTTCATACTTGGTGTAGGGGTTTATTTGGTTAATGTATTGGCATAAGCAACTTGATCGAATGAAACTTTGGAGCACGAAGGCTTTGGTTCTAGTTAGGTGAGCATAGATTCATTATATCTAATGACTTGACTAAGTTCGTTGATGAGAATTTTCTGCATATGCTATGTAGCGATAAGAAACCTGATTGGTCAAGACTTTGGAACAGAACAGCTTTGCTTTTAATTGATGTAGATGTTCATTAGATGAATGATTACCATTTCCCCTATTGCTAAGTTGGTCGATGCTTTGGGACAAGATAACTGATAGATAGTGATGAAACTTAGTGTAGTATAGTACATTAAAACCTTGACTGAGTTCGATCGAGAACATTTTCTGCTTAGACTAAGTATAGATAATCAGTCCGATTGCTTGATACTTCTCAAAACGAAATGTGCAATTAATTAATATGCGTCATCTATTTATTTTGAGATTGCGGAGGTGGATATCCGCCTTCGCACAATGTTGGCTTGTTCCATTAGTTGAGTAAATAATAAATACGAAGTTTGAACTTAATCGGACAATACCTCGGGGGTCCACCGTGAACTTGAAATCTGGGGAAAACCACCAACAATCAGAAAATATGAACTTAATTAAACTACTAAACCTGGGACAACGTTATGATTAATGCAAGGAATATACAGACACGCCCAGTGGCCGAGTATCAAGTATCATGGAGACACGCTTCACTGTTTACAAATGATTGCGCGGAACATCGAGTAAAACTGGGTTCTGATTTCCTGACATCGGCGATGCTGGAGGAGAACTACGAGAATGTCACCTGAGTGGTTGCTGGACATCATAAAGCAGTTCCTAACTCGAGAAAGACCATCAAAAAATCTCTCACGACAAGTGAACAATTTATGCAACCTTTCAACATTGTTTTTTTTTTCTACATTAGGTTTGGTAAATGCTCAAGAAACCTACCATTAATAAGTCGGTGGTTCTAAAACATTTCCGATTCCTTACCCGGTTCCGTAACTATTAAACGTGGTTCCCTGGACGAATCGTGTATGTAATTTCAGTTGATATTTTCCTGCTTTTGGCGGTTTCTCCGAATCAGATGATAACTTTAGCTCCTAAAGCGTCAACAAAAAATATATCAAAGTGACCAAGGCCCATAACTCTAGAAGTAATTATCAAAAATCTTCATCTCGTGACCATAGACACTCTGTATCTGTGATAATGAGTTTTTCGAGCCCCCTTCCCCTCCCATTCCTTTACTGTCACCTGGTCGTATTAGAAGATCGAATTTCCGCGGACGGTAACTGCAATATATTTAACGGTTACGGAATATTAGCATTGTATACTAAATAATAATCGCAATCGCAAAAGAAACAGAACACGAAAACACAGTGTAGAATTTTAGCATATATCGGGAACTATTTGATGATTGGTCAAAATGCATATTATTAAATAAGCCTATTTCACTTTACAGAACGTTAATAAATATATATGTATATATATATATATATGATATAGTATAGATATTTGTGTTGTTCAAAATAATTGTTTTAAATTTAATATGGCAGTAGCAAGTCTCTCACATCGTTATCGTTAGCATACAACTTGAGCACAGTTTGTTTAAATATTTCGTATTCATGACATATTATTAGATATTTCTGTCATAAAAGATTTTCTTTCGAAAATAGGCGAGCTTTGCGAAAATATAAAAAATATTTCGCTTCCCTCGGGGTCGGATTGATAAATACTGAATATATATTTACCCTTTGTTGGTATTACCACACAGCTAGTAAAGATCATCAATACGAGTGAGCAAACCATAACTATTGCTTCTTTTCTCTAATCAATCCACTACAATCCGCGAACAGAAACACCCTGATTCTTTCTAACTTTGTATTCTGTCAAAACTTTTATAAGAGAATGGGTGGCCTTAAGCTATAGAGAGAAGGCATTTGATTGGCCGGAAAACACACGATCAATTCTGATGAATAAAACTTTTGACGAATTAAAATTGAGTTTGCTTTTTTGCGAAAAAGATATGATATTGAAAAATAGTTTGATAGCTTATAACACTGACGCTTTTATCTGCATCACTCTTTTTTACGTCATTTTTACATGCGCCATTGTTAAGCTCATAAAGCAAGGGTGCACTAAGTTGAGCGCACTAACTCACCCTATTCATTTAACGATACACGCTCACTAAAGTCTTTATAGGGTAGTTATTTCCAATTAATTGTTGGCAAATTTGATATATATGGAAAGTAGAGACGACCAATCTTACTAGAAAAATACTGGATTTCCTGAAAAACACCCATGCGACAAGCACTGGGTAAAAATATCAGGGTATCACTAACTGTCAGCCCGACGGCTTAAGTCTGCCAGCTTGACTTGGGGAGCGGTTTTTATTTCTTGATCGAATGGTTAAGCGGTTTGGGGAACATTGAGAGGTTTAAAGTACAACAGACTCTGAAATTAAAGGAAGTTGGCAGAAGATAATCCCAAAATTTACTTAGGCCTCAATATGTATAATGGACAGTAAGTAACCATAAATAAATTCTGGAAATGGGCCCTCCCTCAATCAAGTTACTTAGTTTTTTTTATATCTTTGGGTATTTCCTCGCAAATACAAGGTTTTGAGAGGAATTTGAAGCAAATTTTTGATAGATTTTAATCAATGAGTTTGAATATGTTTTTATATCATCAAATCACCCAGTTTGTACAGGGGAAGGCATCTTCAGAAAGAAATATAACTATGCATAAAAATATTTTTTTTTTAAAATGAAAAAGTGAAATGATCATACAAAAAAGTCTTACAAAAAATACCCGGTTCTGCAAATAAATGTTGTAACGACTGACACCGTTTAATCATATTTTATTGAGATGCTTGCACTCAATTAAAACGTGCCCAACTGCTTAACTGCCTAATAGACGTGAATGTAACAATTGTCGTCTAACCGTAGTGTAGCGATTGAATGAATGTATAATCACGTATGGCCCGTAGTGCATTGTATTGTGTCCTAGAGGGGTTGTTAAGGGTTATCGAATGCGACAAGGATTTTAGTTAGATGAACACTCGAGCTAGTGCAAAGTTGTGCACAGCGACCGCAAAGCACGAACACGGGTGTTTATCCATCTTGACGCCGAGGTCGATATTTGTTAGCGAAAGAAGTTGAATGAGTGGAAGAAAAAGGGCGGATAGGTTCAGACGCAATTTTATCACAGAGTCTAAATCACCCCCAAATCGCTATACCACTTCGTATTGTTTACTTCAAATCAGATCATGTCTAATGTCAGGGTTTTTTTTTTATTTTTTAAAAACAGTTTAAAGAAATATGAATTGGCGTGGTAGAGTGAATTTATTTATTTTATTGGTATTTTGATATGATCATAATGCTAATGTAATCTTAAGTAATATGGCACACATCACTGCATCTTTAAACTGTCCTGTTCTGTACTCTCTTGTTTAAGTTATCCAATGAGTTTTAGGCCATCTTCTGCTCACAGGGGTTCATTTTCACCTTTGACCCGAAGGTTTCTTGGATTTGTATTTCTCATTTCCTTAGTCACTATTAAATATAATTTTGTAGAGAAAGGTTGTATGTTTCATCCAACCTTGATATCATTTTTATATTTAGAGTTTCAGCTTGTCGATTCGATTGTTATTTTCTTCAATCGTGTGTATTAGTACTTATAGTTGCATTATTGTCTACAGATTTGTTCCTTACAGTTTAAAGAGAGCGTATAAGGTACTTCACCCCATTCCAGTCACTGACTACTGTCATTTAAAAAAAAAACCTTTCTTGAGGTTTTTACGGTCTAGTAATAAATAAACCGCTGTTAAACTGAACCCCTATGTGGTTAATTTATTCGCAACCTGGCCCCCTACAACATTGGTATACGGTTAAATATATTTTAAGCCTATTTGCTGATTTCAAGTCTTCTACACTTAGATAGAAATGTGGTCGTATAATTGTCGTCGCCCCCGTCGGTCCGTGTCCACGCGCTGGAGGCCGCAGTTAATATCCGACTGACTTAAAGTTCTATACATTAGTCTTGAGTTGAAGTAGCTGATTGATTTTCAACGATATCCGATTATAATTGCCAGGGTTATTGCCCAAGATCATTTTTTAAAATAATGTGGCGCTCTAGAGTGTTTAAGGTCATGAAACGATAAATCCTATTGATTTTCAATGATTTCCGATAATTACTAGCCCTTCATATTAAATGTTGTGTATACTAAACGTGAGCATAAGGCAGAACTATGGGTTTTTACTCGTAATCAGATTTTAGTGTGTTGTTTTAATGTTTTCATTACTAACAAAAAAAAAATGCCACAACCCTTGTTGACTTCCCGGGCGACTTAGCTGCCTGGAAACGTATCTTTAAAATCCACATTAGTCCAATCGATATTGTTAAATTTATTTATTGGGAATGCTTCATTACACTTACGAATTAACTGCACAGTTATCTTTTTGAAAAGTATTGAGCAATCAAACTGATTATCTAATCTTAGTCTAAGCAGAAAATTGAACTCATCAAGGTTTTGAGGTAACTGGGTGTGGCACTATACCCTAAGTTTCGTCACTCTCCATCAGTTAGAATCTAGAGTTATCATGTTCAACTTTATACAAGGGACTACTTTTAGACATTTTGTATGGAGTACCATCCCAAACATCATCTGGATTAAAGGGGCAGGTAAGATTAGATGAAGAGCTGACAGTTCTCGCAATAACAGTTTTTAAAAGGTGATGAAAACAAAATATGCTGAATATTTCAGTGAAATTACATCAATTTCAACCGAGATATTAAAGATTCAATTTAAGGCTAGCCTAGGTCGCAATTACTACCATTTTACGTTAAATCATCCATCACAAAATGTATTCAAATCTACTAAATATCGCATCGAGAGTTGATTATGGTCTTAATAAGTTTATTAATGTCTAATTTAGATAACCATTTTAGGACTAACGAAAGACCTACAGGTAGATTTAAATAATCGCATCGAGAGTTGATTATGGTCTTGATACGTTTATTAATGTCTAGTTTAGATAATAAGGACTAACATCGAGAGTTGATTATGGTCTTGATACGTTTATTAATGTCTAGTTTAGATAATAAGGACTAACATCGAGAGTTGATTATGGTCTTGATACGTTTATTAATGTCTAGTTTAGATAATAAGGACTAACATCGAGAGTTGATTATGGTCTTGATACGTTTATTAATGTCTAGTTTAGATAATAAGGACTAACATCGAGAGTTGATTATGGTCTTGATACGTTTATTAATGTCTAGTTTAGATAATAAGGACTAACATCGAGAGTTGATTATGGTCTTGATACGTTTATTAATGTCTAGTTTAGATAATAAGGACTAACATCGAGAGTTGATTATGGTCTTGATACGTTTATTAATGTCTAGTTTAGATAATAAGGACTAACATCGAGAGTTGATTATGGTCTTGATACGTTTATTAATGTCTAGTTTAGATAATAAGGACTAACGAAAGAACTACAGGTAGATTTAAATATGAAGGGTCTATATAGAAATTAGTAAATACTGCATCAAATTTATTCATTTATCCAGCAATTGGATTGTCTTACCATGGTTTTCGTTTCAACCCTTCACCTATTTTAACAATTGATATGTGTTCGAGCATTGGTTACTTTGGTAAGGGGGAGATCCGCCTTCACCCAAAATCCATGTAAAAAGAGTACCTAAGATAAGCACAACAAGTGCCTCCCTACAGTCCACAAACTATTGAATCATTACATCAGCAACCGAAAGAAGCGAACGGGCAATATCGAAAGTTGTGGTTAAATTGCAACAAAATTTAAACTACCAAGCAATCATTTCTTGCATACTAATTTATAACAGACCATTCGTCAGTCCTTGTAGCAGAACAAGATAGTCAGTTAATGGATATTAAAGGACAAAGCAACAAAATGGGGTTTAACGTCCTACTTTTCTCAACAAACCAGACTAATGATGTGTACTGGGATGGAAACTTATCTCATTTCGGGACTAACATATGGTTCAATTTTATTTCAATAATTCGGTTACGCGTAGAGTGAGAAGAAGCCGGGGTCCCGGAGAAAACCCACTCCTTGTCACGTACAACCGAGGAATCGAGACTACGCCAGTTGACTCAATGACAGACCTTATGATAAGCGCGCACTTGCTACCCCCCCCCCCCCAAGGATATTTAAATAAAATGAAAGCGGCTCAACATCCTACTTTTCTGCTCCATATATGACAATGAAGATGACCATGCAGTGTTTTATAATGCAGCGCGCACGTGCCCCCCCCCCCCGCCGAAGGATATTTAAATAAAATGAAAGCGGCTTAACATCCTACTTTTCTGCTCCATAAATGCTAATGAACATGGCCATGCAGTATTTTATGAGGGAAATCTGGCTCGGACAGCAGCGCTACGGCCTCCTCTTATTTCAAATTCCAAGTGTCAAGGGCTCTTTTACGTGCACGCCAACTTGAGACGGATAAATAAAGAAGATGGAGAAAATACAAAGTGACATTTTATTTTACAAGTTTGAAAATACATAATCTCCCAAGTTAAATAGCTAGTCTACAGTGATGTTATAGAAATTTACTGTTTATATAATCTTCTCTCCTGGTCTATATAATACATTGGAACAAATATACATAAGTTCAGCTTTTAAAACCCCTGCAGTCAGCACTGAACACTTGTTTAATATATGGAGGCAGACCACCATTAAATTTCACTATCCCGGTACCACGAATTGTAGTTCGTCTATTCATAGCAATTCTCTCTCTCTCTCTCTCTCTCTCTTTTCTCCTCTTTTGCATTCCCATTTTTGTTGATTTTTGGTCTAGAATGGATGAAGAGAGTTTGAA